AAAAAAAAAAAAAAAAAAAAAAAAAAAAAAAAAAAAAAATTCTTTTAATGGTATTTTTATTTTTCTGTTTGTTCTTTACCCAAATAACAGTTCAATAATTTGTCACTATTTTTATAGTGTGAGTCAGGTTGGACAAGATGACCTTGTTGCAGTTGATGATTGTGACCTCGAAGAGGAGAAGCCAACCACAGAGCCATTTCTATCTTTAGATGATAGGAGATGGTTACATCCTTCTGAAAAATCTGGTCCTCCACTAAAGCATGATATAAAGAACCATGATCTTCCATTGGGTAGTATTAGACAACCCACCCCACCTCCTATACTGGCCCAAGTGCACAGTAAGCTACTTCAAGTATATCCCTACAAAGTTTCTTGGGAAAGTTCTACTTCAGAGGGTGGGCTATCCGGTTCACGGTCGTACCATGATGTTCATATTGTGAGTCTTTCGTGTTGATCCATAAGTTGACATTGAGGATTCTATTTGTTTTCATCTTTATTGGGTGAATGTTTGAGACTTGGTAATTCCTTTTGCGAGCATTTGATGCCTATATGTCGATTATGTTTCAGCCAGCGAATATGATGGAAGATTTTATGAGATTGGCACGAAAGAATACTGCACAAGACTTGGAAACTTGTGGTGTTCTTGCTGGCTCACTTGTATGAATTCAGTTCTTGTTATTGCTTCTTAATAGGAGCGAAAAAGATTTGAATAGAAGATTGACCATTTCACTATTATAACTTTGTGGCTCTAACACTACGTATCTGACTGGTTTCAGCAGGATAAAGTATTTCACATTACTTCACTCATAATTCCTAAGCAGGAGTCAACTTCAAACTCGGTAATGTGCATCTCTGCCCTGCAAACGATCTTCTAAAGTGGGAAATTTTGTTTCGTATATATTTCGAGTTCTTTTCCTTGACAAATGTTGTTGCCAAGCCTCTAGTTCTACGCTGGAAGAGCTTGTCGTTTATTCTTTTTAGTTGATTAATATAGCACAACATTACACACTTTGTCTGATATCGGTGGATTTCACATCATCTATTTTTCTTCTTAATAATCTTTCTATGCTTCTCTCAGTTCTTCATTGAAGATGTACTTGTTGATTCATATATGATCTATTTATGAATATATATCTTCTTTCGGTGCAATGTGATCACAGTTTTTCATGTCAACTGAAGTTAGAGTTGATAGCTAAAGTTTTTCCATTTTGATTTTTAGTGCCAGACACTGAATGAAGAAGAAATCTTTTATGTTCAAGACAGTCGTTCTCTATTTACTCTTGGGTGGATCCACGTAAGTCTTAGCTTGACTGTGACATTTTTCTTACTTGGGGTCATTTGGCTGCAGTAACATCATTAGAAGTCTATTCTCTGAAACCATATTCCTGTATTTATCAGTACATATTATATCAATAGTGAAGGTGTCCTGATTTGCGTTTTGCATTCCTTTTTTTATATATCTTTTGCTAATCTTTAGCTTCTGGGAATCTGGTCTCAAATAACTATATGTTTGTGATACTTCGCTAGCTTTTAGAATTTGGACTCACTTAGTGTCCTGAGCATCACGATTTCTCGTGTTAATGTTTTGCTTGACTATTGTCTTGATTTTCGGAACTTGCATGAGCACCACATAATTGTCTTATTTCCAGTGTTCTCTGTTTCAATGACTGCTTGATATATGGGACATATTGTACATGCTGTGGCAAACTATCACGAATTTCATCTCTGATTCTTGATTGCAGAAACTCTGTTTATATTGGGTCCTGTGGGTGTTTGAATTTAAAATTGGTTTATTTTTGTAACTTGATCTAGTTGCAATTTAAAGCAAAAAAGGAGATGAGTATCAATGCTGTGCATATGAGAATAATGCCTCTATTCTTCTTTTAGCGTCCATAATTGATGATTCTTTTCTTGATTTGCAGACTCATCCAACTCAAACATGTTTTATGTCTTCTGTTGATCTGCACACTCATTATTCGTATCAGGTATGAATGTTATGCACTCTGTAAAACGTTGATCATTACTAAAGCTCTGTCTGTCTGGAAAGCAAGAATAGGAAATATATATATATACACATATTATATATATATATATTTTTATTATTTTTTTTTAAATCGTCCATTGCAAATGGAGCTGGAAGAGTCATTGTTGACAATTCTCCTGGCATAGTGCTAATAATGGACTAGATCAAAATGGCTCAATTAAATTCTAGTGCTTCTTCTATTAGTGAAGTTTCTAGAAAAAATATATCAAACGACGCAATGCACCTTGGGTCGCTACGGAAACCGCCTCCTTGTATAATTACAAGGGTAAGGTATGCGTACAACTGAACCCCAGACCCCAACCTGTTGGGAATATACTCTGAGTATGTTGTTGTTGTTGTTGTTGTTGTTGTTGTATATATATATTTTTTAACTTGATTGAAGTAAAAGGATTTTTCATGAAAGATATAACTTTGATTGTCCCAAGGGCTAAATAACTAGTGTCTTTTGTTTACCTTGGTTTGCTTAATCCATTTTACATAGCATTTTAGGGTCAAGCTTGCATATTTGGCTGTATGATTCAGGCGTATGCATGTGTTACATATGATCAAGATTGGCTTTGGAATATCGGAGATGTCATGCAAGATATCTGTGTGATAAGATAGAAACCAAATGAATAAACTTTTTTATATTTTTTGGGCCTGAAAACATTGATCACATTCACTTTTTAGCAATTAAATTTCATCCTATTTAGCTTAAGCATTTAATATTTCCAAATTTTGTCGTATGAATGCGTGAGACGGGCTAAAATATACTCAATCAGCTTCTTAGAACAACATGATGAACACAATATTTTTGTAGAACTGTGCACAGTGAAAAAAAATAGGAATTCGCTGGAAAAAGTAAATGAAAAAAAAAAAAAATAGGCCAAACTAGCGGACAACCCTTCTTGACTCGACATCTCTACAATTTTTTTACTTATATTAGCTTCTGTTTTTCTTCCTGGTGCCGCATAGCATCTTCATAATAGGTCATACTTGTTCACATGTACTCTAATGAATTTCCTCCTTGTTTGTATAAGGTCATGTTACCGGAAGCAATTGCAATTGTCATGGCTCCGACCGACACATCAAGGTAGTGCTCTGTAATCATACCAAATTACTAGATGTGCTAGAGGAGATAGATCATCTGACCTTGCTTTGTTACATAACTTGCCAATTTACTTTTTTTTTTTTTTTTTTCATTTTTTGCATTTTTTGCATTTTTTGTCCATTGCAAATGGAGCTGGAAGAGTCATTGTTGACAATTCTCCTGGCATAGTGCTAATAATGGACTAGATCAAAATGGCTCAATTAAATTCTAGTGCTTCTTCTATTAGTGAAGTTTCTAGAAAAAAAATATATCAAACGACGCAATGCACCTTGGGTCGCTACGGAAACAGCCTCCTTGTATATTTACAAGGGTAAAGTCTGCGTACAACTGACCCCCCAGACCCCAACTAATTGGGAATATACTGGGTATGTTGTTGTTGTTGTTGTTGTTGTTTCTTTTTTGCATTTGCTTAAATATGAAGTCTTTGTTCATGCCCGGTCAATTTGTAGAAGTAGCATATGGTTTTAAATATCAAGCTAATTGAACTCAAGTACTTTTGAGCTCTACTTGATTTGCTTGACCTTTGAATCACTAGTATTCTTTTGTTTCCTTCTATTAATCATTTTTAGGGTTACACAGAGAAAATAACCTTCAGGTTTTAATCCTTCCGCAAAAAGAAAAGCTATCGTCAAAGTTGCGAATTCCCAATCAACATTTGTTTTTAATGCTAAAATTGCATCCAATATCGCAGGTGTTTACCCACTATATAATTTTGGAAATGGGTGTTTGTACAACATAAAAGTTGTGGGATAGGGAGTTTGTATTATTCAAATTTTACTGAATTCGTGAATTAAGCTAAACCTCTGATATAATCCTTCTTTTAAATCTGTTTTTGTTTTTCCAGTCCACATGGTATATTTCGTCTTACTGATCCCGGTGGGGTTGCCGTTATTCGCAACTGTGAGCAACGTGGTTTCCACCCTCACGAAGAACTCGGAGGCGGAAATCCCATTTACGAGCAGTGTTCCCATGTTTACTTCAATCAAAGTTTAAAGTTAGATGTGGTGGATTTGAGGTGAGCTTGCAATGTACCATTTTGTTTATCATAAATACAAGGGCGGTATATCATGATATGACTCCTTTCTGCTAAAGACCTTTTGTATATTCCCCCACTGATTCTATGAATCTTTCATTTGGATTCTATAAATATGTAGACTCCATCCAATGAATGTACAATCTACACCAGGATTCTATAAATATGTAGACTTTTATTCGATGGACTGCATTTTATTTTCATTCCTTTTTATTCATTACTTTCATGAAAGTATCGAATCAAACCTATGGTCGGAGTTTGCATGTTCACTAAGAAATGGTGATGGTTTGTTGCTTCCGGTGTTTTCGAATGCCATTTTTTTTTTCCTACGACTAAATAGAAAACACATTTATATTTCGACATTGAGACTCCTGTTGGAAAAAGATTGTAGTGTAGTCTTGGAAAAAGAAGTATTGCACTAAAACTTATGTTAAGTATTGAACAAGACCGCGAAAGGATGATATTATAATATTGTAATCCAGACTTTTAGTAATTGATGCGTACTCTTAAACTTAAGAAATATAAAACAAGCATATATATATATATATATATATATATATATATATATATTCATTACTTGTTTATTTGATTTATTAAGGTTGATTAATAATGTGCTAGGATAACAAACTCATTATTTTTGATAAATGATGGTGTTTATATGATGTGTTGTTTACTTGTTATAAATAAATATTTACGACCACTATGTCTTAGTGTGCTGGGTTGATGACGTCCACGAAATGAGCTCAAAAAGAATATTATGTCAAGCCCTGCAGGTGGATGACTATCCGACATAATAATTAAGGATCTGAGTGGTACTAGTTTTGAAAATGAATAAGAAGTCCATTTAATTTTATTGTCAGTGAAAATTAATCGACGGACGTCATATCTTAAACATAGGGATGGTAAATCGATCAATTAGATAAATATTTATTAATCAAGTGGAGGTTCGAATTTATTGAATAAATTGGAGCTAATGAGAACAATAATATTACTATAGTGAAATATTTTATTATTCAATTTAATTAGGAGATAGGAACTAATTATTATCTATTTATTGAATTCATAAGAAGAGAATATTCTTTCTAAAATATACTAATGGTTAGGATACTTGAAAGTCTTCTAGAAGGGGTAATCTATATATATTGAAAGAGGGAAGTAAATAAATCAATTATGAAAACTTTTAAAAAAATGTTTTGACTTTCCATTTGTGGAAAGTATTTTAAAAATCCTTAAAACAAATTAAACAAAATATTTAAATCAAAAATCCGTAAATAAAGAGATTGAATTGGATAGGCACTTTGTGATAAGCTATTGCCTTATCTAAAATATTTAAACAACTTTCCATTGAAATCTCCAACCACTTTGTACGCACGTTTAAAATAATTTAAAAAAAAAATCAGCCTAATCTAACCAATTCGGTAATTTGCTATTTAATAGGGAATGTGCTTTAATTTTCATAAACAAATCCAATCCTTAATTATCACTACCAACAAACCTAATCTACATAATATCCTAACAAATTGATTCTTTTTTTCCGTTCAGATAACCATAGAAACACAATATAAAACGCTATACAGTGATAACAAAAATTACAATGCTCTTCGATTGCCAGCTTCTCCATACACTACAATAACATAAATTACAAAACTCAAACATTATTTTATGGAACCATTCTGGGGTACACTGGACGCCGTCAGCAGAACCAACAAACCATATTTGAGGTTGAGAGTTGTCCTACTACTTGAAACTCATCATGGTGAAGAGGATCAGAATGCTTTTCATATCCTGTTTCATGACGAAGGGGTAATAATTTTTGTCTATTTTATCAATAACATAATTATTGTAATATTTCAAGAAATTTTCGAGATTTTTTTAATGTTTTTTTTATTTAAAACATGTAGGGTTCATACATGAAAGGAATAATACGTTCACCGCATATGAGCAGATTTCGAGTTCTACTTAAACAAGGCGAGGTATATGTTATTCGCAACTACGATGTTGAATATAATAGTGGGAGGAATGATATTACAACAAAACCTTTGAAGCTTCGAATTCATGGAAGTACGGACGTGATCAAATACAAAGCGAATTTTTCTCAATACTAGCTACGAAAAAAATTATGGTCATGGCTGTATTTCTTAGTTTTTTATCAAATATTATTATTATTATTATTATTTTAATTTATGATATGTTGAATATTGGCAACACTTTTATTCCATGTCATTTTTTATGCGTATTGGATATTTGTTTAAATTTATTGGTAATAAATATCATATTACTTCATTTATTATTCATATTAGTTCATTTATTATTTGATTAAGTAATTACATGCGACTGTTTTAATATGAATTTGGAAGATATAATCTGAATTTTTTTAACAACATGAAATTGATATAATACAATTTAAAAATATTTAAAATAAAGGTATTAAAATTTTATGTTTAACTTTTATTCAATATACTCACGATATTAAAATTAGCAATTTCAATGTTTCGAAGATATAATATGATATTTTTTAAACAATGTGAAATGTGAAATTAAGTACGTAGTAATTTAAAGCACTTTTTTAACTACATGTAGTTATCAATAAAATAACAATATATAAATATTTATTTATAAAAAGATAAAATTTTCGGCCAAATTTTGGTATCTAATTTAATTAAAATTATTATTTGCTTACCAAATGAGATAAACAATACCCCTACACAAAAGGAGATAAAGATGACCATATTCACGGTTCTTTACCCATTTACAATTCTATAAAAAGGGATAATTTAGGAGAATAAAACACATACCGTATTTTTAAGTTTTACATTCTTATTCCATTATTTTATTAGTTTACAATAAGAGTTTCAAAATGCCGCTTGTGTGGGGTGCTCTCAAATCTGTGAACCGTACTGACAAGCCTTATTTAAAAGTAAGGGTTGTGAGGGTTTTTGAACGTAATTTTGATGCCAAATTCAAGAACATGTTAGAAATCATCTTCCATGATGAGGACGTAAGTTTTAAAAATGTACTATCAATCTTTTTCGGTTTTAGATGTATTTTAAATTATATGTTTTTTTTTTTATAAATTTATAACATATATGATTCGTTTACTATCATGTGAATATCTAGGGTCATCGTATGGCTGGACAAATTCGATCTGTCAATATCCCAAAATTCAAAGACTTTATTAAAGAGGGCGAGGTCTACGCAATTCGCAACTACCAAATCGATAGCAACATTGGGCTGTATCGATCGACAATTCACAAGTTTAAGATGGTCATACATGGGATGACTGAACTCTTAAAGTTTAAGGGGGATTTTCCATATTTTCGATTTGATTTTAGAAATTTTGTTACTCTCCAAGATCCCAACAATGTTGATGAATCCACCCTTTTTGGTATGTTCATCAACTTAACCATTCTGTTTTTTTTTTTAATTTTATATTTTGTTGAATTTACTTTTTATTTATATGTAGATATATAAATTTAATCAACTTTATTTATGAATAATTGTAGATATTATTGGAGTTGTTGTGGAGATTGGTTCTGTTGCTATTAAAGAAATCAATGGTGTCCCAACAAAAAGGATTGTTTTTTATTTGATCGACTTGGAGTAAGTGTTTACTTTCTTTTTGAACTAAATAAATATATGTATTTGTACGTCTATTTAATTTATGTTCTTAATTATTGTAGGGAGAACAAGTTGAGTTGCACTCTTTGGAACGAATATGTTGATAAATTTCTTCAACATGAACAACAACACGCTGGGGTTGATGGACGCCAATGGATTATGATAATTAACTTGTGTAGAGCAAAACCATATGATGGTACAATTTTGATACATAAATAATTTTATTTATTCGAAAAATTCTATTGTTTTATTTCATCAATAATTTTTATGTAGGTCGTCCTAACCTAACAACGTCACAAAATATCACTCGGCTTATTTCAAATGAAGTTCCCGAGATTGAGGATTTTCGTAGAAGGTTCGTGTACAATATTAATCTTTTGTATTATAATTATTAATAATTATTGATTTGATCTTAAATTAGTAAAATATTGTTTATTTTGTATTTTATGAATAGGTTGGCAACTGCACGTGTTCGTAATGCTTCTTTAACTTCGAGGAGTTCGATTGTAGCGCGTAGTGAATTGGATGAACTTGCTAGCGGTAATTTGGTAGTCACCTCTGTTGATTCTCTTTATGAGGTTGATAAGGTATTGCTAATGTATACCAATTTATAGAATACATAAAATTTTAATTTTTAAAATAAAATTTTATTTTGAAAATAAAAATTTAATTTTTAAAACATACTTTACGTTTTTTTTTTTTTTTTTTTAATTTTGAACAGGATACAACTACTTGGATATGTGCTAAAATTAAATCGGTTATTGACGAGTGGTACTACCTTGCATGTCGCAAGTGCAGTACTAAAATGGACGAGACTCCTGCTCATTATGAGTGTTCTAAATGCCAAGGAAAAAGGGGTGTTTTTCGGTTAGCAAATCATTCAAATGATTTATCTATTTATGTATTCTTTATTTAAATATAACTTTTCTTTCAATACTTTTTACTTTTTTTTTTATTTTTGGTCGGAACGATAGAAGTACTATAGATAAGCGCACAAATGTGCGAAAATACAAACTTGGAGGCTAGACCGAAGTCCGCCTAGAATCGCTAGC